AGCATGTTTTTAGATGGAACAGACACAAACAGGACATCCGAGTAGCTGGAGGGAAGTCAGAGCAGGAATTCAAAGTTCAAAGCAATCAAATAACCTGACTGTTTCTGCACAGAAAGGTTTGAACTGAATGTGATTTTTTCAAAGTGGAAAATACAGTTAAAAATAGCAAATTGACACTTTTGTTTATTTTGCAAATGAAGGAGAAAGTTTTGTGTCACAATCCCTTTTAACTACAAAAAATATAAAATGTATTCAAAGCTACTTCCGAAAAGGTTAAGGAATAATGTTAATAGGCAATAATTACAGGTGGGAATTTGATACATTAATTACGATTCATTAAAGGTGAATTATGTACAAATGAAGTAAAAATGGCATCCTGTGGTAAAATGTGGTTACTGCAAAAATTTAAACATCTCTGGCGCTTTATGCCAGCCGTCATCAATTTACAATTGTCGCTGCTGCAGCATTAGCTCGCAGGAGACACGGCAATCCCACACACACTGATGGTAAACAGTAGTTACGTCACTCCTTCCTTTGTTTTGAAAAGGAGAAAAACTAGCAATCCCCGCAGCCAGCTGGATATTAAATATGCTTCAGCACAACCCCCCATCCAAAATGGCTGAAACATTTAACTCTTTTGGGATTTCCTAATTAAATTCTCACATACGACACCTGTAATTAGAAAAAGTAACGCGTTGAAAAATATATCTTTTAACCCTCAGCAGAACTTCCCCTGAACTCTTCACTACACCTCTATAAATCAGCAGTGCTCTGCTGCCACCTAGTGTTCAGCTCAGTACACAACAATTACAATGTTCCATGTCTATTTACACTTCGTCAGTAACACAAGCTAACAGACCCCACAATGGTGACCTTTATAACGAGACGTACAAAATCAAGTGGGCCTTGTGGTTAAAGAAGTATACTCATTAAAGTGTGAGTACGTCATCTGTGCCTCACTAACAGTTTTTTAAAAAAGCCTTTGGGACTAATTGTCTTGAATGATTAAAATGTAGTTACTGTAACAACGCCTCTGACTCATTTGATCAACCTTTTTAATCAAGTCCCACCCCTACAAACAACACAACATAATTAATAATTAATAATGACAACTTTCTATTGGGCTCACCTGTAGGGCCTGAGAACTCTGAAGTAATCCGAGGCTGAAGAGCTGCTCTTCACCAGCCTCAGCAGCTTGATCCCTTTATGAGACACAGACAACACCTGCACTCCAGTTCCCACACTGCCCTGAAACACACACACACACACACACACACACACACACACACACACACACACACACACACACGCACGCACGCACGCACACACACACACACACACACACACACACACACACACACACACACGCACGCACGCACACACACACACACACACACACACACAGGCCATCTGAAAAAGGAAGACTACCGTTTACCTTAAACTACACTGAATGGAACAGAAACTCACTGAGGCTGGGAAGAGGCGGGAGAAATAAATCTCCCATGAGTCCTTGGCCATGGCGACCACTTTCTTCTTGATGTTTTCATCGTGAGTCCCTGATGACTGGTCCACTTTGTTCTCCGCTGTTGTAGAGACACAATGATCAGAGGTGTCAAGAGGTCAAAAACGTCTCTCCGTCTCCCTGAAGCTGGGATGGTCGAGTTTGTGTTTCCGCCTGTTTTATCAATCGATCCTGTTTAATTAAATCGGTCTTTAAGTTTCACATCTTAGGGTGCGTAAAGCCCACATATTCATAGATGTTTAACCCTCCCACTGTCCTAACGGGTGACCCCGCGAGGAAAGTTGACCATTGAGCAGGACTGATGGTTTATTCCTTGAGGTCCACGTGGCAGGGGAGAGGTGGTGCTCACTCCTCACCCCTGCCACGTGGACCTCAAGGGATAAACCATCAGTCCTGCTCAATGGTCAACTTTCCTCGCGGGGTCACCCGTTAGGACAGTGGGAGGGTAAAAAAATCTACTCCCCTTCAATTTTTGACTTTTTGTCATGGTCTGCGTCTCCCTCATGTGTCTCCTTGTGTGCTCCATCCCCCTCTAGGATCCCCTTAAGTGTCTCCTTGTGTTCCTCACGTGTCCCCTGGTCTGCAGCCCCTTCAGGTTCTCCCTCCCAGATCCTGTGCTCCCATTGGTCTCCCCTAGTCACCCCTCTGTAGTTTTTCTGTTGGTTCAGCTTTTCATTTAATTCGTCTCTTTTAGTGTGTTTCTTTACCCACCATGTTTTTTTTAGTTTTCCTTCCTCCTTAGAACACTAGTTATTTATCTCGCTCTTCTTGTCTTTAGATTTTGCTTTTGTTCTTAGGTCATGTTATTTTCCCCTCCTCAGCTCACCTTCCTCTCCCTGATTAGTTAATTGTTTTCACTAGGTTTCTCTCCCCACGCGCCTGCAGCTCATCTCCCACTCATCCTGCCCCGGTGTATTTAACACGGTCTGCGTCTCAGGCCCTGTCCACACGTAGCCGGGGATCTGCCAAAACGTAGAT